GGGTGCTGTCTGAGGTCACGACCTCTGACCCCAGGCGCGGTGTTTTCGGGGTCAGGTGGGTGGTTTCCTGTCCTTGCCGCGTCTCGCCTGGCGGACAGAAACGGACTGTTAATCTCTGACGATTTTATTTTCTCAGTTTGTAAACAATGTATATTTTAAAGCTAATAAAATATTTTAAACAAAGCTCCGCCTCCTCGCCTTTATTGTTTCAAGGACCTTTAAGTCAGGTTGGAGTTTATTTCATTCATGCAGTACAAACCAATCAGATCGTCTCGTGTCTGAGCTTCACTTCCTGGTTCAAACTTTATTAATACAGCAGCTCATGAACAGTGTGACTGACTGAAGCTGGCGCTCTGTGTTCGACCTTTTGTCATCGTGGGGTCACATGACCTGTGAGACCTTCGCGTAGTCCCCTGAGGTGCTGCGCAAGTAAATGGGCGACGCTTCTGTTACGATGCCCGAGCAGGTTTTTATCTACTGGGGGCGACTGTGGCTCAGGGAAGGTCGCCGGTTCGATCCCCGGGCTCTCTGTCCTGGTCGTTGTGTCCTTGGGCAAGACACTTCACCCACCGCCTACTGGTGTTGGCCAGAGGGGCCGATGGTGCGATATGGCAGCTTCTGTCTGCCTCGCTACAACCGTAGCTGCCTCCACCAGTGTGTGAATGCTATATAAATCCAATCCAATCCATTACCACTGCGATGGTCGAGCAGGTGGAGCCGGGATGGACTTGGCAACCTCCTGATGGCGCCGCAGTTCTGAATGTGGATGCAGAGATGGACTGCTTCTCAGTGATTGATCAATAAATGCATTGAGCAGCAGATTTTCCTCCACTGTGACGCGTGAATGTTGGGAGGAGGAGGAGGAGCCTTTCCTCGTGTATTTAAGGTGGAATTCCAGATGTCAGAGCTGCTGTTCTTTTATGTCGATCGAGTGGAATAAAGATTCCAACGTCCAGGTATGTCACACCTGGTCCTGTTACCTGCTTGCAAACATAACCAGGTTTATTAAGCTGTTCCCGAACGCCTCGTCAGCGGCCGTTTCCTCTGAGGCTGGACGGTAGCCCCACACACACCTTTGTATCAGGCTCTGCTGCCACCTGCTGGTAGCCGCAGGAACTGAGTCCTGCTGCGCCTCCCTCTGTGCGATAACTCAGCAAAGGATTGTGGGTAATGCAGTTTGAATCACCTGTAACAAGCTTCCAGTGAACAAGGAATCAGCTGGAGAACGGATTTTAATGCAGGGGGACCTTTGAACTTTTACATGAAGTATGAAC